GCTGTGCCTGCCACGAAATCTGCACTTCCAGGTCGACCAAGTGCTGTGCCTGCCACGAAATCTGCACTTTGAGGTTCACCAAGTGCTGCCCCTGCCACGAATCTGCACTTCGAGGTTCACAAAGTGCTGTACCTGTCATGAAATCTGCACTTCAAGGTTCACAAAGTGCTGCGCCTGCCACGATATCTGCACTTCCAGGTTCACAAAGTGCTGTACCTGTCACGAAATCTGCACTTCGAGGTTCACAAAGCGCTGCGCCTGCCACGAAATCTGTACTTCGAGGTTCACCAAGCGCTGCGCCTGCCACGAAATGTCCAATAGTCACGATTCACTGCACCTGTCACGAAATCTGAGCTCTTTGACGATCACCACCATGTCCAAAGCGCTGCGCCTGCCACGAAAACTGCATTTCGAAGTCAAACAGCTCCGATCCCTTGCACCTGTCACGAAAAGCCGGCTTTGGAGCACCAAAACACGAGGCTTCCCTTGCACCTGCCACGAAAAGTGACCACCATGTTCCGAAATGCGCGCGGCGCCACAACAAGAGCGCAGCCGCCTGCAGCACCCGCCGCGGACGCCCAGATTCAGGGAGCCTGCGCAGTCGAAGTGCACATGGACGATGTCGAGAGTCATGAATGTACTGTAAATAGCAGCGAATCAGCCGCACACGCCCGGGCGGAACAGCGATCCAAGCACACCTTCCTTTCCCCTACCGTAAGAACCCCTCAGTGTGCCCACACTGTTTGGGGAAATACATTGAATAAGGCGCTGACAATGTCATGGTTCAGCTGTTTAACTCCCGAAGACCACAACAGTTTTGCACATGTCGTCTCTGAACCAAACCAAGTTGCCGCTTCCAGCACACTTCCAGTTTGCGCTTCATAAGGGTTCTCCCTCCCACTGCTCATGCTAATTCATTCTGATTGACTCTTGCTGCAATGTTGCTACAACCGTCAGGAGAACTAGTTCTGCAAAACATATTGCCGACCTCTTCGGAGATATTTGGGGCCCGTACTCAGACAAGATAAGGCAGCGTGGCGACAGAACCACTTTCAGTGCAACAACCACAGAAGAATCATGTCTATGCGTTGCTTGAGCAGCTGAGATTGGCATAAGTTTGAATAAATGGCGCGTTGCAAAATTGATTGTCTGGTGCGATGGCACAAACTGTTCGTTCCGCGTCCGTGTTTTGCTATTTCTTGTCCATTCGTCACCTCCTTTGATCTCTGTCTGCGTTACCTGCTTTCTACAATTCCTTGGCAATCAAAAAACCAAGGCGTTATGGTAAAAACAATTGTTTTTCCGTACCCATTTGTATGAAAGTAAGGTTCCATGAACACACCCGTGTATCCATTCACAACAGGTTCGTGTGCATTCGGCAATGAACCATCTGATCTCTGGATCGTTCGGACACTCTTCTTGAAGAAGTACATTCGGTGAAGGCGCAGCCCGAGCCACTTCCCATGTACTTTCTAACAAAAAGCAGCCTGTTGTCGTTGCCGTAGCGTCCACAGCGAACGTCACTATCCCCACCCCACCCCACCCCACGTGTGTGGATGACAAGTTTGACAAAATATGGACGCTACAAACATTAAATGCCCATATCATAATCATATGTCAATATACATTGCGCAGAAAGTCCATTGCATCATAGAATGACCCGGCAGCAATGTCGTTGCACAAAGATCCACAAGGCGATGTTGTTGCCATTGCATCCACAACAGACGTCATCAATTGACCCCGCCGCACCCCACCCCAACCCCCCCAAACAGCCTGCCGCAGCAATGATCCACCTTGCAACGTCGTTGCCGTTGGCGTCCACGACGAACGCCATTAGCCCCACTCCACCGATCAACGCAGCAACACATTCCCAGGTGGCCCTGCAGACATAGCCGAAATGCCGCGCGCGCCACGCGGATTTTACACAACGCTCGTTTTGGCCGCGTTGCTATTGACGTCTCCAGCAGAAACAAACACCGGCTCAACCCAGTTGATGTGCTCAATAGGAGAGACCAAACGCAAGGTCCAGTTTCTCATTTCACTTGCGACACCTTGGACACCGGTGTGGTTCATGTGTTCCCAACATGCGAGAGGGGTTGTCATGGGAACATAGAATCCACATGCATTTCCAACCTATTTGAAAGTTAAAATGCTTGATGTTCACAGTCAGTGGTGCAAAACTTGGAGTCAAATGATAGAACGAAGGCCAATTTCAGAAAGTAAGGCAACGAAAAAGAAAACAAGAGAAGGAACCCCGGATTGATTGATGGGTGCTATGTCTCTATATTTCTCTTGGTCTCTGTCTTCCTCAGGCTTGTTGGTGAAGCTTTGAAGTCGCAATGTTTCCTGTTTCTTTCCTGCTCCACTCTATTTTCTCGGCTTCCTTGTAGTAGGCATTGGGTTGCTGAAGGACATATACATATACCGAAATATGTTTTCAGTGTTTCTAACCTTTCGGACCTGTCTGGTGGGCTTTGCTTGGCACTCAACTGCTTTCAGTTGGCCAACCGGCCGTGAATCGCACGAAGGTCTTGGCTTGGTCCTTGTTGATCTTGATCTCTTCCGATTTACCGATGTAAGCAGTAAAAGACCTTTATCTACTTGCAACGCTGCAATTCTTCCGGTCGCTTGCCAACCTGTGGTAGCTAGGGTGAGGGATTGTCGGACTAAACATGTCTTCTTCCGATTGAATTGAATATACAATCTGTGTACATTGTATCCTTGTCACCCGTGGTTTGCAGTCGAGCATATTCTATTCACATTATCATTCGTTTCATCCTCATCACAAACTTCTTCTTGCGCTGTCCTAGCAACACTTTTTGCCTTGCCCACAACCTCTTTTGCAAAACGTGCGTAAACCCAAACCAAACGCATAGCGCTTTCAAACACGGGGCAGCCCAAAACGGACGCCCAGATATCCGTGGCTAGGCAGCCATTTCCCGCAGACTCGCAGTCTTCGGTCTTAAGTTGCCTGCGATTTCGGCACCTGAAAGCAATCGCTCACTTCATCCTCCGCGAACACATCACGGATCACCTCACAATCTCTACTCTGCGGTGACAATGTGTCCCAAATTGACATGTACGAAGCACCACTGAAGAAGTTTTGTCGTAATCTCAAAAAGAGAGCATTTAGTAAATAATGAGGCCGCAACGTGTGACGCACGTGTCCAAATATGTTATATATCGTCGAGCAACTCGCGGCTGTCCATGATGGCCAGGATTGATGTTCCAATGTGCTATCTCAATGTTTCAAGATTGATACGAAAGCTTCCAAAGAGTCTTTCACAGCAAAGCGACGTTGTGGAAACTCTATGCATCGACGCGCCATACATGGATCTTCTCGATCGAAGCCAGTGAAGTTGCCCAGCCTAACAGGCGAAAGCGAATCAAAGCAGGGAACACAACACACAGCCACCGAAGCTGACCAAACACACAAAAGGCGAGAAAACCACTTTGCTAAAGAAAACACCCTTGTAAGGGCTGGGTTACCTACTGCTGCTGAGCTGGGGTGGGCTTGACACTACTGGCGCGACCTGGGCGGTGCGTGAAAAACGGGAAAGCTGAAAGCCTGGTCTCCCTTGTTGAGCGCATGAACCTGGTAAAACAAAGCTCAAGTTATATATAGGTAGACATTTTTCGTAAACAGATAACGCACCAAAGGTAAGCAACAAGATAAAGGACGATAGCGAAGATAGACATTAAAATTAAAGGCGCGTAAGAAGAATGTGGACAAGTATCTTCCATTTACATGTTGGTATTCGTCTCTGCGAACGCTCCTTTTGAGCCTCGATAGTCGGGCGTGAGACATGTCCACGAGTCCATCTTTACATGTTTGCCACTCCTCCTTTGGAGGCTGAGCTGATGCTGCATGTCCTTTTTGTCCTGCTAGTCGGTGATATAGTTAACCAGCTCTTGCAGTTGCTTGTAGAGTTCATGCAGCTTCGCTCTGTCTCAATCACTCGAAAAAAACTCGACGCTGTCTTCCAGCTTCAACATTTCCTCCCTTGCCTGCAAAAAACACTCGTGCCGGCAAGGTGTCCATTTGTTCAGCCACATCTATTGGGCCATCTGCTTCTTCCACCAGCGCTGCTCTTGTCACTGCAGCACTGTCTGTCGCTTCTCCTCCATGATCTGAGGGCTCTCCTCCATCAACCTCCTCTTCTGGTGGTTCAAAAGGAGGTGTGTCTGGCCACCTCCGCTCGTCCGCCATTCTGGGTGTCAGCTCTGGTGAGAGATACGCCACTGGAACTCCAACTTCTCTTCCATCATCCAGTAACACCATTGCCGTGTCACCGCTCAAATTCTCCTCATTCTCTTCGCCTCTTGATCCTCTTCACTCCGCATGAACTGTTCTTGCTGCGGCTGGCGGAGTATCCGCCCTGCTTCTCCTCTGTCCTCTGACCTCTTTGCCACCCACATCTCTTCTCGTCACATTCTCCTCGCAAACCATTCGTCGATCAACCATGCTTTCTTTCTTGTGCCCCCCTTTGTTTCTCTTCGCAAGGAAATTCACGCGTCGGGCATCCCAATGGCTTAGCTCTCCAAGCTGCACATAGCCATTCTGATTCATGATGGCTCTGTGAAGTCTTTGGCCATAGCAATGCATCATCGAGTCCCATCGTCCTTGAGCTTCGACGTGATGTGCACTTTCATGTCTACTCTCAACTCACTTGTTGTCTCTCTCGCCGCTCGAAGTCCTATGGACTGAATCTTCACTTGGCACCCTGTGAACTTTCACAGAGTTCCATTCTCTCCTCAAGCATCTTGACCGTAGTCCAACTGGGGAAAGTCCAAAGAAAACCATCATCATCGAGCGCAGGAAATCGTTGTCCTTTCTGCTGCCACTGGCCCAAGGCCCCCAACGTACATAATAGTCTTCTCGAGTGCTTTGACCAACCTTTGAATCTTGCCTCGACTCATCTCCTTTTCATCAACTTCTTGCTTCTCCTTCTCACCGACTCTGTCGCCCCCTGCATCGATGGCATGGCGTTTGAAGAGAAGGTACTTCAGCCTCGGTTGGCTCAAAGGCTTGGTGCCAATGTCTGAGACATTATGGTTCCAATGTGCTTCACTTCCATCTCCTTTGAGGAAACCATCTCCTCGCACCATACAAGTTTCCTGCTGATGTGTCTCAATTTTCCGCTTCCTCTCTTGCGCATGATCTGCCTCGTTGCTGAGTTGTCGAGAAGACGCATGCGCTGGACTTCTTCTCCTGTAAGAAGCCTCAGGCACTGCTTGATGAAGACCCCATCGTGCGCTCCTCCAACCAAAGCGTGAAGCTCACTCTCTGCACCGCTCAAGCTGACCACTTTCTGTCCTCTTGATGCAGCAAATGCCACCGCCCCGTTCACTGCGCGCACTGATGAAGACGTAGAACGTCGATGGGCTTCATGGCCACTCCTCCTTTCTCGCGCCTTCAGCTCTCGTTCATGTAGATGGCTCAACAACCTCTGGAAGCACGTCAACTTGCTCCTTGATTAAGAAACGCTGAAATACTTGCAAGGCGCTCTGAGTTACGAAGTGGGCTTTCCTTGGTGAGACCCATGCCATTCACGTTGACGGTGTCTGCATCTGGTCGCCCCAAAACAAGGCGTCCTTCTCTTAGCGCTCTCCTTCCTCCTTCTCATGTTCAATTCATGCTCTGTAGCTGGAATTCCGAATTCTCTCTCTGCTTCTCTTGGTCCTTGCTAAAACTTCTCTCAAAAGCTCCAACATTTCGAGGCCAAATCTTCTGGTCCATGCTCTTCTGATGAGAAATTGGCAAAATCAGAACGTTTTCCTCAAGGCCTTCAATCTTCTCCTGCTGCTCCATCATCAGGTTCAAAGGCATAGCCATAGCCATTTCCTCAATTTCCAGTTTCCTCTCTCTTCGGCGCAAATGTGCACTTCAACCCCACGATCTCCTGGAGTTGTTCTCCCAGCTTCACATCCAAGGCATCAAGTGCCCTGACCATGCACGGGAAAACCCGGATTGCTCTGATCTTTGCCTGCGCCACTGCACCACTAGACTTTTGTTCTGCGGCTCAAGAGCCAGGCACTCTCACTTGGGAGCCAAAACACATGCCTTGTCACCCCTCCCTCCAACAATCTGCCGAAGGACAAACTCGGCTGCTACCCTCTTCAGCAAAGTGAGCTCGCGCGTGAATCTGAACTTCTCGACCATCCTCCGTCTCCATGGCGAAGCAAACTTCTTTGAATTCTGCAGATGGTGCGGTCTTTCGTGAGAGGATTTGCCAACTCGCTCAAGCAAATAACTCGCAAAACTGTTGCATCGGTAGCCAGGGCCTCTTCTCTTGACTTGGGGTCAGGGTCTTATACAAACTCTTGCAATCGTCCTTCTGCCTCTTCAACTCTGCAAGGGCCTGCGTCGATGCCAGCTCCACCACTTGGGCTCTCTGCCGGGCTGGCCATGGCGCGCACGTTATGGGATCATTGGCTCCGCTACCACGCAAACCCACCTGCCAGTCTTTTGTCTTTACTCTCATATCTAGGCTCAACAATGAAAAATGAACCATCATGAGCAGACCCATCAGATTGAATCCTTAAATGCATTTTGTTCAAAACGTATTTATTTCTTAATGACTACTTGGCATTGTCATACATTGTCATTATCCTCTGCATCTTTTGTTTCTTTTTAAACCTATTGAACTATCCAGAAAAATGAACGTAACGAAATGTTTCTTCGTTAAAAATAGAACACAGGAACCCTGAAAACAAAAGCGTTCACCGACATCGTGGAACTATAAACTTTGGGACACCCTGGCTACCAAACCAAGCACGGTTGGTCAAGCGAGGCAAAGCCAGGACGAACCTTACCGCCATGGTTTCTTCAGTCGGCCGGGCGTTGCAATCACACCTCCAAAAAGAACACGAAATTGAAAAAAAAGGATCGGGAACCTTTGAAGGCAAGTAGCAGAGCGAGCGCACTTTCCTAAAGCCAACATATGGTCAAAGGTTGCCGACATTCTTTCCAGAAAACACTAGGTCCGTCACTAGGTAGTTAGTGGGTTGACTGCATATCGCCCATGAAGAATCCGGAATAATCGGAGCTGAAGCTCGATGCTTCCGGTTGTTGGAGGGGACCAGAAACACCGTGGAACATGGCGGAACACAGTGTCTCAAAGCCAGGCCTTATGCAATGTCCCTGTCGGATGACTCAGAATCAGCGTCACTGTCGTCCTGGGAGTGGAAGCTGACTCAAAACTATGCCAGCATCGACCCGAAGAGTTTCAGCAGTTTTCCGCAGACAGGGTAGCTATACGGCACGGGTTTCTACTTCTCAATGGCTGGGTGCCCGTGTTCCGTTTTGGGCTTGCCGCTGCTGTGTGCTGCTGTGCCGCTGCTGCGCCGCTGCTGCCTTGTCCCCCACTTGTCTCTTTACATGTCTCCCCACGTATCTGCCTGTGTGATCGCCGGTTTGGTTTGCCGCTGCTGCTGCTGGAGCTGCCCTCTCTCCCCACTTGTCTCCTTACATGTCTCTTCACCTATCTGCCTGTGGGGTCGCCGTTCTGGTTTGCCACTACCGCTGCTGCCTTGTCTCCCCACTTCTCCTTACATGTCTCCCCAATTGTCTGCCTGTGTGATCGCCGTTTTGGTTTGCCGTTCTTCCTCTGCTGCTGACTTGTCTCCCCACTTGTCTCCTACATGTCTCCCCGCTTATTCCCCTGAAAGCTGTAGGGGTTCTTTTTTCTGTTTTGGCTTACCGCTGCCATTTCTGCCTTGCCTCCCTGCTTGTCTCCCCCCCAGTTGGTTGCCTGTGCGATTGTCTGCTGCTGTCGCTTTGTCTCCTTACTTTTCTCCCCGCTTGTCTGTCTGTCTCCGTACTTGTTTCTGCAGTTGTTTGTCTGCACGATCGGCGTTTTGTCTGCCGCTGTCTCCTTACATCTCTCCCCCCTTGTCTGCCTGTCTGTTTGGCATTTCGTCTGCTGCTGCTGCTGCTGCTGCCGTCTTGTCTCCTTAGCCCCACTTGTCTCCCCGCTTGTTTTGTTTGATGGGCGTTTTGTTTGCCACTGCTACCTTGTCTCCTGACTCGTCTCCCCGCTTCTCTGGTCATGTTTTGCTACTCAATGGATTTTCTTCCTTGTCCTTGGCGTTATATAGTTGCTATCTGGGGCCCATCAACCCCTTGAATTCTGGTGGAACAACGCCTGCAATTGTGTTCCTATAGCTTCCAGCTATTTCGGAATGGCACTGATTGAAAACAATAGTTCCTGCTTCCGGGGGCATTTGCAAACACACAGGGATATACGAGAATATCTGAGGGTGATATCAAATTTGAAACGCTGCACCACTGTTACATTCAAAGCCACGCGAGAACATGCGATGGAGAAAGGGAAAGCGGCGTTGTGAAGTAGCGGACAAGGCCGTGGTAAAAGGGGTGACAACACGGACAAGCAGGACGGACAAACCCGGACAAGACTTGGACAAGGCCTGGACAAGGCGGCGGCGCCAAGCAGACTGGGACAAAGCATAGCGCATGGCCCACAGCAGCGCAGCGGACAAGGCCTCAACAGGCCTCGACGCAGTCACGGCTATCGGCCAGCCTTCTTTTTGAAATTATTTGGGGAGCAAGAGGAGGACACAGGGTTCGCCAGCAATAGGACAAGTTCGCAAGCATGGCCAGAAGACAGAAGGGGGACAGAAGAGGAGGACACAAAGTTCACAAGCGTGGCTAGAGGACATGAGGAGGACAAGAGAAGAACACAGGGTTCGCGAGCGCGGCCAGGGGCCAGCAGACAAGAGGAGGACAAAGGACTTTGGTGGCACGCCCCGCGGCCAAAGGACAGGGTTGAGGGGCACGGCCAGGGACTGTGGCCAATGTCTTTTTCCTAAGAGAAAAAATTTCAACAGTAAACTGCTTGGTGAAAAGTGATTAAATGCGCTATATTCAGAGAAGTAGGGCCTTTAAAGAGGTCCTTTAAAAGGTATGGTAAGGGTTCTTCTTGTTCATGTCCTTTATTGAGATCACCCTTCGCCGATTTTGGAAACTGTTGAAATGATATGTATATGGTCCAAATAGATCCAAATACAACTTTGTATTCTGGCCAATGGCTACAGCATCACGAGCAAAAATAGGGAAAGCGGCAGGCTCATAAACAAAAGCCAAGCTTCTGTAGCGCAGTCTCCTGGCTTGGTGGAGCCAGCTGAGTGTACCGAGAGAGGTACAAAAAGACGTCACATAATTGCACCATGTTTGGTTTCCCTGTGATTTCCTTATTCAACCTTGCTTTCAATTATATAGGCGTGTTCAACCATCTTCTCCTGCCCAATGCCCTGATTTCTCGTGCCACCCCCTGTACTAAAAATCGCGCGGTTTCAGTAGCCCTGCCATGCTCCATTGACTTGGAGTGAGTGCTACTTCTGTCTTCAGCTGCTTCATGCTTCTGCTTTTGCCCTCCCGGTCGTTCCCTTCACACGCCTCCCTTACATTCGTTTGTTCACGGCAACACACGGAATGTGAGAAGAGAACCCCGCCGCACAAACAACATCGAACCATCCACTCACGGAGCAAAATACTGCATCAAGCCGGTCACATGCTTTGCAGGTATGTTCTCAGGATCAGCTTGATTCCAAAGCCCGGGAACCCAAAAACAAGAGTCTCGCTGATTAACTGCCAAGTGTCCCTTCTCAGCGACCAGTTCAACTTCAGTTGCCTTTGCTGCCAAGCCAGCTCGGGAAACAATCCCAGCAAAGGTACCGTCAGCAGTCACAACGCAAGCGGCTTGCAGATGGGCTTGAGCGAAAAGCGGGTACAAAGAAGCAGCTGAAGTGCCCTCAAGGATCCTTGGATGTCCGTCAACGGTTCACAAACACTGAGGAACGGTTGACGCTTTTCTTTCAGATCTTTCAGGTTTCAAGTAGACCTACATGAAAGGACCAAACAAAACCTTTAGGTATGGGGCGCGTTCGACCAAACCAAGAAACCACAACTACTAACATCTACTACGGTAACGCAATTTCACTGGATAAGCGCGGAAAAGGGGTCAGTAAGGAACATTCAATCATGTCCTAGTCCTGTCCGAGCATCTGTATCCCTGTCCTTTGGGCAACTGCGCCCACATGAATCGAATCTGTTCCCAAATGTTTTCGCCGCTGCTTTTCCAATCCAGAGCGTGGCAAAAGGGAGGCACATCGTGGTCCATCGAGCATTGGGAACCAGGGTGCTGAGCAGCACATCAGTGCTTCATCAATCCTTTGCTGTGCTGGTGGCGCTGGCTTGTGGCAAAAATGGTGACATTGCCTGGCCTGAGGCTGTTCTCCCCTCGGAAACTATTGGAGATTGTCAGAGTTCACCCGCAAACCAGCACTGAATAACAGTTCAAGAGTCTGAGACGTGAGAGCAAAGGGCTTCAGCTGACCTGCGCTCCCAATCTGGCAAACCAATAAATCTTAGTTCTTAACCCTACTCAGGTGATAAACATCAGCAAGGTTCACAGACGAACCAAAATCTAGAATCTAGCCGACTGCAGGTACCCAGGCATTCCAAGCTCAGGGCGGGCGGCGGTCTAATTTGTTCTAGTTGCAAGCTGCAGCTGGAAGCTCATCCATCAAGTCACATGCAGAGAAATGGCGCAATTCTTTGCAAAATTCCGGAGGCAAATAAGGAAGTTTCTTGCCTTGGTAAACCCAACGGTTATTGAGATTTTCAGTTTCTTCCTTTTAGGCCCAGTCTGTCGTTTGATGTTCATCAAAATTGCCATTACCACGCCCCTCCCATCAAAAGTGAGACAAACGACAGCTGCATTTCCATACCAAACTGATTGACCTAAGCTCCCGCTGCCACCAAGCAGCGGATCAACTGCTCCTCATCCCACGCGTCTTGACAAGCGACCATGTGACTGATGAAGAGGCTGATGCTGACAGCCATCATCAATGGGGCAGCAATGTCCACCTAGGAGCAGTCAGCACGTTTACTGAGTGTTCCTGATTCACTTGCTTCGTGTTTCGCACACTGCTCCTCACAAAATTGTTGTTTCTAGGTTAGGAGCAATCAGTGGCAGCAGCAGTCGCCTGAACCCAAAAGTTTGTTTTCATGAGCACTGCTACTCTTCTACCTTCCTTGGGGGCTGGCCCTTGCAGGGCATCACAAAACTACATGGTCATTGTTAACAATGAAGCACACAGTTTGTTTGCCAGCGCCCGATCGCCCATGCGCGACACACTCGGGAAATGCATGCGGAATTGATCGCCCCAAACCCTGAAGAAGCCGAAGGGAAAGAACAGGTGCACTGCGTGACTGCAGAATACAAAACCTAAGCAAAGCCCGCTGTTTCTAGTGACAAAGGGACCCAAAAGAAAGTAAGTGGCGGTCAGAGCAGGTACGTCTGGCTGATCAGACCAGATACCAGCGCGGAGCTTGAGCCTGTTCGTTGGATCACCAGTCAACTCCTTGGGTGACCCCCTGTAGGCACACCTAACGGTGACCTATGATTCCAAGGTTTTCACACACGTTCCACCCGTAGGGGAGGTGAAAGATCAAAATGGGGCTCCGGTTTCCGTGCACGTGTGTGCGCAAGCGGGACAAAAGGAAGAAGACGTGAGAAGAGGACAAGAGACAAGTGTATGTGGTAGCATTGAGAAGGAACCAAGTATGTGCACAGAGACAACCAATGAGCCAGATCTCCTTATAGCAACCTAGGTGACCTAAAACCTGGTTAACGTGTAAAGTGCACAAATACGCTAAGGGCTGGACCAGTGTGCGCGCAAAAGAGAAAAAGAAATGAGATGACCGGACATGAAGGCAGAAAAGACATGAAAAGCAAGAGAAAAGAAAGTGTGTGTGTGGGGGGGGGGGGAAAGATGAAAGGGGGAATCAAATGAAGGGGCCTCAAGAGACCCGTCCGCTGTGGACTACTCTGCTCTCTTGCAGGGAGGGGGAGACAAACCCTTGCTTGCTTAGCAAGGCCACGGACGGCACTCTTCGAGCTCACTCCGGGCTGGCGTGAGGCCAGACACACTCCGGAAATGCGCACGGAATTGATCGCCCAACCCCTAAGCAAGCCTTAGGGAAAAATTGCCTGGGTTGGCTGAGCCCATGCGCGCATGCGCTCCACAAGCGACCTTTCCCAAATTTGCTTCGCCCCGCCACTGCTCACTACATTCTAGTAATGTTGAAAAGGAAATCCAAGTTCACATCATCGACCATGGGTCATATACAAGGACGTAGTCGACACACACACAATCATCAAGGTCTACATAAGAAGAACCCTCAACGCAACACGAAGCTTGTAAGACAAGGCTTGCTCTTTCCAAATGTTCGCGACCAGTCGGCATCTCCCTGCTGTAAGAAACTACAAAATGCTATTGAATACCTCAATTGCATCAAGGTTTCCCAAAATTCTGAAGATTTGCTAGTTGGTGGAACCAGCCAGGCAGCATTATTGGCAGCAGTGACAATGAACATCACAGGAGCTATGGTCATCTGCTTGAAGCCCGACAGCATGGCCGCGGCACCAATCATGGAATAAATTCCTCCCGCGACAAAACGAAATAAACAGGAACATCTTACAGTTGGTGGATGCACCTCGACTATATAACTTTGCTTGGAAAGCAATGTGGCACGAGTGAAGTGCCAAGAAAATGCGCCTGCCAAGCTGCCAGCGATTCACAAACTTCAAGCATTGATCATTTGAGCATGGACAACTTAACCCTTTCAAACCAAGCCAATTGCACAGAATGAAGAAGGTTGAGAATGCCTAGAAGGAATTCCTTCACTAGATTTCAATAGGTTAGAACGCCGCCAAACGGAAATTAATTGGGCTCACTTGTCCCTCTGTGCCTCACTACAAAGACCAGGTTCCTTATAACCAAAACCTGCAACATGTCATTCAAACCTGAAGAGAGAGGTTCACATCGATTGGCAAAAGCATTGTCACGACCTTTCCCAGCCAAACTGCAAGAAACTTCGGCCTGAGGCCTAAGACCTAAAGCTAACAGTTTGCCAACGAAGCTCTCAAGTCAAACAAAGTTGTGCTTCTAAAACATCGTCCAAATAACAATCAGATTGTCGCTCCAGTTCTCTGGTTCTCCTTGAGGTGCGAAGTCCATCTGTGGCAGCAAATGACCCAGCACACAGCCGATCAGCCGCCCAGCCATGCCACCAATCAGCATCGCCCCCGTAAAGTTACCCGTAGGCACAGGGACTCCAGTGAAGAGGACGTTCAAAGTGAAGTATGTCAAGAACGAAACCGCGGAGGCCAAACCCAAAAACTCCTCACAGCGCAAACGGCAAAGAAACCTGTGGCCAAGTTCTATGCCCACGAAAAGCAACTACAAATAACTGCTCTTCAGCAGAATTGAAAACTGGGTTTCAGACGGTTTCAGCACTTTCGAATCTGCAAACCAAGTCATCCATGCGACTGAGTATCAAAATTATCCCGATTGAAGAGCATCTTCACCGCTCCGTCGGGCGTAGTAAGCAACAGGGAGGCTACTGGATTGAAGAAGCCCTCCTTAGGAGTTGCGAGATGTTGCTGTACATATTATGCAGGAGATACTTTGTTCATCCTGCTTCTACACATCATGTCATGACAAATCATGACCCAGAAGCCGAACAAGGCCAACCGAGCAGAACTCTTGTCACCCTGATGAAAGCAAGCACCACAAACAAGGTGAGGAAAAGCTGAAGATGGAAAGGGAGGCCAAGCAACCCCAAACTGCCAACCATTAGTCGGGATGATCTTAAACAAGGCAAACAATCATGTAACAGAGTGTGCTATGAACGAGCAACAGAAAGTCTGAAATGGCTGGGCGTCTTCACATTGGAATTGGACATAGCTGAGATCTTGCTGCAGCTTCTGCTCCGGGATCTCATGACATTCTCCTGACAAACTCGCAAGCCCCACAGCCGCCGCGCAAAGGATTGCGAAAAGCACCGTGTCTATCATCTTTGCCTGCGTGGAGTGCGCGCAATAGAAGCGGTGGAAGAAAGTTTGGAGCCCAGCAGTCCAGCCATAGTGCAAAAATATATATGTTTAAACACTGAATTCCAGGGAGTTGTCGTTTCGTTGACAACGAAGCCTCCAAGTACAAAGCACGATAAAAACATTTTTGGTTTGGGCGCCAAAGTTGGGAGAGGCCTCTGACTCTGCCTTTAACGACAGCAATCCAAACAAAACAGACCTGGCAATTTGAAGCCGTGCCGCCCAAGGCTGGAATCTGCGCAGCACAGTTTCGCTCTGCAAATGTTTTCTCATCTCCTGCACCTTCAAGCACAGCATCGTGTGAAGAGGGGCAAGGAAACCTGAGCCAAAGATTTGACAAAGAAAGGCCACCCGCCCGATACAGTACTGGAACACAATGCACCAAGCAGGACATATGTCATCGGACAGGACAGGAAGTGATCGGACATTCACCAGTCACATCGGACACCAGGACACTTCACAGCCCCCAGAGCAAGCGGCCCAAGAGCACCGACAATATGATGAAAGGCAGGATGTCACATGCCCGGTAATCCTGGCGGGTTCCAATTGGTCTAATTGGAAAGAAACATGTCGTCTTGTTGTTATCTTGGTTGCTGCCCACCGAGGCCATATCAGCGACACAATGTAATTTAATCATACATATATATATATACATAGGTAGATAGATATACATATATACATATATAACCATATATGTATCTGTATATGTGTATCGTTCTAGAACACTTTCCATTTGGAGTAAACCGAGTAAACCTGTTGATTTTCTGTACTTCATCAGATGTGATCGAACCTTCATCTTTGGACTTGCTTCTGCGGGATGTGGTCTGTACCCTATTGGCTAGGCAAAGTCTAGGTACCAAAGTCAAGTCGCCAAAGCGGAGACCTGCTGTTTTGAAGAGTGTGTCAACCTAATAGCGATGGCCTGCAACCTAATAGCAATGGCCTCCATCCAAACCTGTGGGGGGGGGAAACCCACTTGGGCCTTTTGCCGGCTCACACCGTGGCCTGAACAGCAGGGCCGTACCACATTTCAAAGATCACGAACTCCCGGATCCCGCGATGCACCACGGCCAGCAACGAATAGGACAGGGTGGTACAAATCGTACAGCCCACAAAAGACTTGAAGGTGAGCTCCATGGGCCAAAACGAAGAGCTGACTTCTTCGAACCTCAAAGGCCAACATGAAGCAATCTTCATTGCCTTACATCAACATCAGTTCCATCACGTTGCATCTTGTTGTGAGCTGAGCCAGTTACATCCCGTTCTGTTCTGTTGCATGCGCTTCGACGACGCGCGTACAATGTGTGAATTGCATGCGCTTTCCATTCCGTGTACCTGGTTGCCCAATAGGAATGCTTGGCTTGCTTTCTTTGTGACACGCAAGCAAAAGGAATCTATATAATGTTGAAGCTAGCAGGGCCAACCATCGGAAACCAAAAGAGACTGACAAGATGACCTTCTTTCATCCACGGGTTTAGACAATCCCTCCCTCCTTGTCCGTGAGCTAGAGGGAATGAAACCAACCAGTCAAGTAGAGAGGTCCTTTTCAACAGTCCCCAAAATAACGTTGACCGGATATGGGATTTCATTGCCACGTGTGAAACTGATTTGTACAAAGCACAAATGGCTGGGTTGAATCTTTTCCTTTCAGGGTTCAGCTGTCTCTGAGGGTTCCACGATGACTAAGGAGTGAACGGGAAGCTCACTACACGCCTGCGAAGTCAGAGGATGGCCACGGTCCTGCTGCGCGAGCTGACCCTTCATCGTGACCTTCTAAATTCAACATTCAACAGTTCTGCCAGCTCCTCAGTCATGCTTCAACACGCATGGGTTTTGTGGCAAACACAATGATTCCTGTCCACATACGACCCAACCTCAGAAGGAAAGCTAGTCCAGACATTCTGATGGGGGGCAATCCTGACGTTGGGCCAAGGTCAACCAGGGCAACAGGTCTTCAAGTGAGCGTGACAAATCCTGGGCTTTGTGGGGGAAGAACAGGCGTTTGCGAGGATGAAAATGTACGCGGATGAGAAAATGACCCAATTGAAACAATTGGTCGGCTCTTCTAGGGGGTTCTCTCAAAACAATCAGGAAAAATTGCTTTTTCGATTCAATCCAGTCAGCAACGTCCCATGACCACTCCCATCGGCCTTGCACGCGTGGCAAGATTCGAGACGAACGAACGAACGAACGAACGAACGAACGAACGAACGAACGAACGAACGACTACGATGTTTGGGTTGGCTGCCTAAGAAACAAGTGCAAGAACCAAGATGCTCAAAAGTTGTAAATCCGCAGCCCATCGTCCAACATGGCGTCAAGGTGGTGAAACGTGTGAATTCCAGTTTGATTAGTGGTCCGGGTTGAAATCATGTCAACACATGGAGGAACGTGTGCCGCTAAAGAAAGTGAGTGCTGTCAAACCTAAATGGTGTGTGTGTGGCTACGATATCCCGAACCAGGGTGACACCAGGGTGGAGCTCATTGAGCGTTGCCCTTGCCGCCTCCGCGGCCTTTCCCTTTGCCTTTGCGCTGTTTCCCTTTGCCTTTTGGGCCAGGCCGGTTGCGTTTCTGGATTGCTTCTCTGGTGCGATTTATGAATACATTGATGACATCGTTGTCTCCTGCTTCGTCGTCCTTCGCCTTTTGACGTGAAGATAGGAGGGCCTTTCCAAGTTCATGTGCTAAGACATCTTGGATGGTCTGGGAAGCTAAGCCAAACTCAAGGCGGAGAACGAAATGGTTTTTGGCCCTGATCCATGACTGGGAAGCGTCGTCAAAAGTGCCTCTGGTACGGTTGGGACTGATGAAACGCGTACTGTGTTCCAACGCTGGGCGCAGCATATACCATTGATCCACTACCGCCGAGCTTTGAGGGTCGGGGTTGGCCTTATGCCAGTCAGATGATGATTGGTCAGATGGTATTGGGTAGGGCAGATGCAGAACATGGCCCAAGGCCTTCAGGACAGCCGCTGCGCCGTCTTTGCAGAGGTTCTTAAACTCACGGGTCACTTGGGCCTGCTGATAAATCGTCTCGAGGTCGGGCGCAAACTCGACGACCAGTTGTGTACTTTGTTCAATCCGGTCCAATCTCGTCTCATGCCTGTCAACCCTGGTCTCCAGCTTCGTGACTCCTTCTTGGAGAGAGTCGATGGCCTTTTTCATGTCCTTCAGCTGGGCCTTGGTTTCTGCCTTTGCCATTACTCGCGCCGAGGCTTAAAAGAGGGAGAACTCTACGCTGAGCACTTGATCCGACAATGCTATGGTGGACACAGGTGATGAAAGTGAATGGGTGTCGTGATCCTTTGTCCAACAGTCTATTGGGGTGTGACGGTGTGTGAGGGTGGGGAGCAGACAATGGGGGGTATACCGTGACACGTGGTCCGGTTGGCCAGTAGGTGACTGATGAAGTAGTTCATGACCCTCCATACCTCCCGAAGGAGACACCTCGGACGTGCCGGGTGAGTCGACCTACAGCGGTTGGGTGAGGAGAGGGGGGGTATCCTGTTGTTAGCCGCGTTGTGGACATTTAGCTTCATGGTTCTTGCGCGAAACCGTGGAACTAAAAATGTTGTGGCAAAATTCACACTTGCGGTTCGCGGGGTCGGGGCCGCGACACAGGGCCTCATGACGTGCTAGATTAGGTGTGGTAAATGTTTCATGGCAGAGCCTACATGCTTGAGTATGGTGAATTTTAGGGCCTCGGACAGGGCGCGGCGCAACTGGGCATATGTGGGTGCGTCTGCGCTTTTCACTACGCCAATTATTTCCGCAATGTGGGCATGCGTAGGTAGCAACTGTGATAAGATGTGGGACGGCCACGGCATGCTCATCTTCATAGTGGGCTTTGAGGCTATTAGACTTCTCGTATGATTGATCACAGCGGGGACATTTATATTGTCCTGTGGCAGGATCCGGTTGCATCACGCGGTGTCGCTTACGTCGTTCGCGGTTGAACTGAAATTGCACAGGGGGTGGCCGGGCTCGGGTGCTGGGGCGCCATCTATTGAGTGCCATTTCGGTCTGCTTATTTATCTTAGTGACTGGGTACGCATTGAGCACGGCTTGTTTCCAAGCGTCACGATCCTGGGCCAGTCTGAACCAGTCCAATTCATTGACATCTATCTGTGCAATGAGGTACTGCAACCATTGCCCCTGACGGAAAGGCGCGTGAGGCTTGATCAGGTGGTCTTGCCAAAAACCAAATAGAGCTTGTTTAGGGAGTCGAGCTTTGTCCATTCGCGCTACATGCCCTAACCAAAACAGACTCTGACGCGCTATCGTTGTTTCAAAAGGTTCCCATTGCGCTAACTCATTAAGTAAGCGGCTGTTTACGTGGTTCTCGCGTTTCCATCTTCGGGTGATAAGTAAACAGCGCTGGACCGCCCAATTGACGACTGTTTGAAGTTGTTTAATTTGTTCGCGGTTCCATGCTCGAGAACGGCCAAAACTGGTGAGTGTCGGCATTACTACTGCTTTCATTATCCGGATGCGTAAGCTGTGCGGCAAATTCCGGCGTGTTGCACGGGCCCCAAAATGCCACGCCTTAGCTGTTTGATAAATTTTGTGATAGGCTCTAGACTTTCTGGTCATGGTATCGGTGTGGGTGCTTCCGGATTCTTGTAAAAAACCCCCGACATGACGGATGGTTGCTTGTTCCCCTTTGTGACGGACATCAGTAGGTGCGCGAGGGAAGGTCTGCAAACGAAGCCCTTCCGTTTTTTCCGGGCGCACCTTTTCTTGCCAATCCCGCATCGTTGTTTCCAACAGGATTTCGGCCTGACTCATTTCTGCGGCGAGTCCAACTAGACCTGTGTCATCCGCAAAACCTATGTCTCCTAGGACTGTTTGTTCGGCCTTTTTGTGTAAATGTTGCCGGCTATGATATCCATGGTGGACCCTACCGTCTATCTTGGTTGTCCAGGGGATCCCTGGGGAGTAACCGGATTGGTTTGCCTGTTGTGCGCGGCGGACGCGGAAGTCTTCCATCACAGCGTGATGATACAGGAAAAAGAGGGGGTGATGATGGACATCCCTCGCGCAGGCCCTTATCTACTGAGTAGGGGGTGGAGAAACCTTTATGGATGCGAACCACATTTTTGCGAGGATGAAAATGTACGCGGATGAGAAAATGACCCAATTGAAACCATTGGTCGGCTCTTCTAGGGGGTTCTCTCAAAACAATCAGGAAAAATTGCTTTTTCGATTCAATCCAGTCAGCAACGTCCCATGACCACTCCCATCGGCCTTGCACGCGTGGCAAGATTCGAGTCAAGCAGATCCAGCGCTAGATGACCGCCGATTTCAGGCAGTGGCCCATTCAGCAAGCCCAACTGTTGCGAGCTTGCTGAAATGTTGTAAAAGTTGATGCGCAATCCCAAACGACTCCAAGTGGCTCGGCTGAGGCTAGGAAATAGTGGCGCTTGCCCAGCCACCACGCACACTTTCAGCAACGCACCAACACCAAACACGGTCACTGGCACGTCTGCTGCAAAAGACCTTTGAGCTGTCATTTTTGGAAAACACCATCTGTGTCCAAGCGGGTAACGGGCTCCTAAATCACCCCAAGTTCCAGCAGCTTGTGTTCCCATTGCCTGACATGACCATTTATGCCCAGCGCTTCTGGACGAGGGCAAGGACTCTTCTCCGACCACAAAGCCTTTGTCAGCCACACTGTCGACACCATATTGGCAGCAAAGGTGTTTTGGGTGCTGCTGCTTGACTCAGTTGGTATTTGGGGCAGATGGGGTCATTTTTCCAATAGGCCTTGAGCACCACAAGCACGACAAGTTCTTGTGGCTTTTGCTTGGGCAAGTTCTTGTTGACGTTCATCATGACTTCGCCCTCGAGGATGTTCCCTACTGAAGAGGCCTCTTGATTTGAACTTGTTCTTTTGTTGTGATTTGGCAGAACGATAAGCAGCATACACATCGACGCCTTTTCTCTCTGCATCGCGGAGGAATTGCATGGCCGCCAACACCTCCTCAGGTGCGTTGGCACCTTCAGCTTCTTCATCTTCTGTCAATGATCTTCATCGTCAAAACTAACTGACTCCTCTGAATCAAGTTCTTCCTCTGGAAGGGTCGTCAGCAGGGCCTGTCGGGAGTTTCCTCTGGCCGGATGGTTTGACCCCGACCGCCTATCATAGACAGCATTCAACCCAAACCCAACACGTTGGCTTGGAGACAGGCGCTTGGGGGCATCGGCAATGTGGAGGGATCTTCTGAACAATTCTTTCTCCTCCACTCTTAGACCGTTGGACCAGCTCTTCTCAACAGCATCCATGGTCACTGACAAACATGTCATCATCTTCATCTTCCAGCTCTCGCCTGGCTTGGACGACGAGTATCTTGGACTCCAAGAGCCCCTCTCCGGGCCTGTCCCTTCTCTGCCAACGAGCTTGGTGTATCTCTTGACTGCCCTTCTAAACTCATTGTGGTGCTTTTGAACCACGTCAAAAGCTGGAATCTTCACATCTTCAGCAGGCTTGGATCTCTTCTTCTTCTCCTCCTCCGCCGATCTGTGGAACTGCTGTCGCTACTGCTCTCCGAGCCCGTCGATGAACTGGATGACGATGATTCCCTCTTCTCACGGCGTCTCACCACTGAGTGTGAAGGAGAGGAGTCAACTCAACTGGAGACTCTTTCACTTGCTTCTTCTCATTCATGTCCGAGTCCAACGCATCGGGCTTGGACACCTGAGGCTCCGATCTCTTCTCTTTCTTGGCCTAGGGGTCATTGACAAACACCGGATCTTCCTGACCTCTGCTTTGCCCACCCACCTTGCTGGGTCCTCTGTCCGACCGCTGCTCACGCGGTAAGGGCGTCTGCACAGGCACAGGCTCGGTGTCACCAGCTTGCTGCCACGAACTCGGCAGCGACTGAGAAGGCGCTTCAGGGGAAGCCGGTGGTGAAGGACTCACCGGAACACGCTCTCCAGCTTTCGACATGCCCAACGGGCCCAACACCCGCCGACGACCGGCGGAACGAAAGGAGGCCTACTCGTCAGGCCTTAGAAAGGAAACCCTAAACCGCTCTTCTCACTCAGGTGTCACGACTGACGACCAAACTACGGGGCCCACCATCGGAAGCCGGGAGAGACTGACAAGATGACCTTCTTTCATCCACGGGTTTAGACAATCCCTCCCTCCTCACCCTTGAGCTAGAGGGAATGAAATCAACCGGTCAAGTAGAGAGGTCCTTTTCAACATCTAGTAGCAATGGCCTCCATCCTAGTGGCAATGGCCTCCACCCTAGTAGCGATGGCCTCCAACCTAATAGCTATAGCCTCCAACCTAATAGCGATGGCCTCCAGCCTAATAGCGATGGCCTCAACCTTATAGCGATGGCCTCCAACCTAATAGCGGTGGCCTCCAGCCAAATAGCGATGGCCTCAACCTAATAGCGATGGCCTCCATCCTGATAGGAATGGGTTTGAGGAACGTGCATTTCACCCTCGCCCTGCCCTTGCGCTGTAGACGGGAGGGGCTGTGGATGTAGCTCAGGCGGCAATTCTACTGCCGGCAGATGGTGTGGACCATGACAGCAACAAGACCAAGATGGAATGAGCCAGTGGTGAAGAAAATGTTCTGCATAAATGTGGAGTGTAGCCGCGTAGCCAAAAAATGGACAGGAAAGGGTGGAACTTCGAAGTCAATCGTCACACATTGTTGGGCCTACTCCCAACCCAACACCATCTGCGCTGCCGTCTTCTTTGATGGGCCTTGGGTGGACCCTCGCTTACAGCGCGGTTCTAGTTTCATGTGGCAAGGTGTGGTCCTGCTCTACTAGATGGGTTAGCGGTGTCCTTTTGGACTTCTGGTTCTTGTGTACCGAGTGAGTGCTTTGGCTCAAGGAGTCGCCACAGCGAAAAGATTTGGTTGGGAAGGCAGCAAGTCCAAGAGTGCTGCAATCATCTGCAATCCAATCAAGCGACCACGTTGAAATGCACCAGGATCAGGTAAGAGAGGAACAAAAAGGCTCAACGGGAGAGACGCAAACAAGGACTGGCGTAAAACGAATGCTTGGCTTGCTTCTCTTTGCATCGCCAAGACACACACACACAAACTCCTTTTCTTTCGTTGTGCCTTGGTGTTGGTTGCAGCTAGTTTTTCCACGTTGCCAAGAAACATGTAGAGGATGCCCCCCAGTGGGGCATTAAAGATCATTGCCATGCCACAAGCTCCTCCTACAATACAACCCATACGCACTGCACCAGGTGCTCCAGCACGCATGTCCAAATACTCTCTGGCCTCCAGCAATGTACAGACTTTCTTGATTGAGATTCCCTTGATTCAGGGTCATGAGATATCAAAGAAGGCAGTTGCGAAGGCTTCACGGCCTTGAGCTTAATACAACCTATTCACCTATTTCAGCAACAAAGCTTGCACATTCAACACTTCAACCCACCGCCTCCTTGTGTTTGGCACTGATACCTGAATATGCTGGCGATGTGATGATATCGATTTGCAACATTGTGCACCCTGCTCTAGACGAACCTGCAGCCTGCCCCCCTACTGTGTCTCTGCCCTACTGTGTCTGGCCTTTAAGAGTCAAGAACTGTCGTTGTTGGGTGATAAGCGTTCTTTGTGAGTTTGCAATCGAATCGAGTCACATCGGCAAAGTATGAAGGCCATGCCACCGCCTAGAGCGACTGTGGGCCCTTCGCGACCACAAGGGAACCCCGTGGTGTTGGAGAAAATCACTGCCACGAAGCCTCACAGAAAATCATGCTCTGGAAAACAAACAAACAAACAAACGTGTGCAACTGGGAATCGCAAATGTGTTTGTCCTGCATTTGCAGGCTTTTTCAGGTCTGCATTCTTCATCACAGGTGAACAACCAGCATCGCTTGCAAACCACACACTCAAACCTTCATGTGCAGTGGCTTGTATATGCCACCTGCGTTGTCTATTTACCTCCACAAAAAAGTAGCATGATAATTATTGTAGTGAGGATTCAGGGCACCAAAGCACCGGGATTGAAAGCAAAACACAAAGCAAATGTGACAGCACGTCACAAAGGAATGGATGCTTGGAGAATCTTGAAGACAAAGCTTGCGGTCAAGCAGCGCACTGCAAGGATTGTGGGGCTGAAAAGCTTGGAAGTGTCGAAGCCATTCAGCCAGGCCTTATTCTCAGCTGATCCAGAACCACCTGCTTCGGGCGCCAGTCCATGGACAAGGGAAGTGAGAACCAGGGCAAAGACAAACATCAGGGCCATGAGAACCAAAATACCGGCAGCCACTCCAAACCTCGTTGCTGCAATTTTGGAAACTTGTTGCACTCAAAGTTTAAAGCGGACTCCAGCGTCTCCTGCCCATGACTCAATACCCTAAGGCTCTTGGATTGGTTTGAGAATACCATACGTCAAATTCAAAAGGCATCCTTATCTTCATGTTCACTTTAGTTTTCCAAGGCTCTTGTCCATAGCCACTTGCACAGTGTGGAACTTGAAGCGGACCAAGTACTCCACTGCAAAGACCATCAACAGGTTCGAGAGTGCCATACCAATGGCTGTCAGCACTATGACAAGCCATCCCGTAGCGCTCTCTGACGGGCGCCACATGGCAAACTAAGGACACTTGGGCATACACAAGGAAAAGAGCAAAAAAAGGATAGATAGTTGGAGAACAACAGAATCAGTCCCTAACTCACCATTACCCTAAGGCAATCCGAAGGAACCTCACAAATGAACTGGTCAGGGGAAAGGATAGAAGTGCGTAGAACAAGCCTTTGGCACACTCGTTGTGGGTTCAGGAGTAGTGGAATACAATATGGAACTGCTTTTGAGCTTGGGATTTTCTGATTCAATTTGCTATGGAGGGAACAAAAAAGTGTAGTGTTGCCCTATGTCCAGCCAGCTCCTTTGCTTGGCAAAGTCCTCATCGTGTTGAACTGATTTAGAAACGGACTCTCCCAAAGACCGCATTTTCAAAAGGACTTGGAGAGCAATGCGGTAATGTTTTGAGCCAAACAATGGTGTCAGAGTACTCTAAGAAACCCCATCTACAATGTGTCCGCATCTTAAATTCAAGCTAAACACTCACAGAAACCCATGTTGGACCATTTGATGGAGGCAACGAAGAAGAAATAGTTAGTTTGAGCATTCCCCAGTGGTAGATCAAGGCAGTCTTATCGTTCCATATGGAGAGCACATCTCTCCTTGAGTCCCGCTGTAACGAGGAAAGGGATGATGCTGAACTGGCCTGAAAACTAAACCACGGAATGTTCAAGAAACAGTTATGTAAACGTGTATATATATATATATAAACTTGTGAAAGAGAAACCATAAATTTGCGGATTCATTTCAAAGTCAGTGCACAAAAATGACGCGTGTAACATGTTTCTTCTTGCACCAAGAACAAGCGACTTAGGCGTTCTGAAGCTGCGAGACTTTTGCCCAGTAGGCCACCTTGAAGGATTTTCTTTAAACATCTTTAGACTGGAGATTTAAAGGAAAAGTTCTTTTTTAAGCAATCGAAAGAACGTTTGCGCACCAAGTTTCCTAATGGGTGGAAGGGGTAGGCTGCGAGGAGAGGTTAGTAAGCTTCCTTAAAGAATCCCTCGTGTGATTGGTCTGGTTCCTAGATGTTGGATGATGTTGGATAAACTTAACAAGCGGCATGACGTTTTTGTCAGTTGAAGGGTGAATGAACCGTATACCGTATAACGTTCCAAAAGTGAAAACTTGTCTTGAACCTGGCAAAAGGATGCAAAAGGAAACCAGGATAGAACCAAATCAGTATCTCAGTGTACTGTGGGCGAGTCTTTCTACGATCTGCTCCTTCAAGGTTCCAACTGTGGGCCGGATGTAAGTTGCAAGTGCAGTTGATGTGCTGCAATGATCAAGCTGAAGAAAAGGAAGCACGACTGAAGCAGGTGAATTACATCCCTTGCAACAAATATATAAATAAAAAATCAACAAAAAAAATCATAGCGGGTCTAAGCCGCTCTACATCCCTTGCAGGAGTTCTCATGTTGAGTCAACAGCTCCCTGATGCTCCCTGGATGGGACCGTGACCAAATCGTGGTCCTTGTTGGCCTCTCTCAGTCAATGATGCGGATGTTGTCAAGACCTGCCTGTGAAGACCATCTTGAAGTATGGCGATGCCAGTGTCCGATGCCCGCATTTTTCTGTTGCAACTGGAGTAGTTGTTCAGTAGCTGTTCAACTGTGGAGGGTTTTTGACGGCACTCTGAGGCCCAGGCCTTCGCAGCAAACCGAATGTGCGCAGGCGCGTCACTCACGGCCTGCGCGTCTAGAGTCTAAGAACTTTTGACAGGACAGAACCTCGCTTCTTTTCCTCACACAAGTTCGAGGAATCAAATCCATAACATATATCCTCATATATCCTGTGGCTCGCCTCACATGCAATTGCAATGGTCTTCTCTTCACTGAAGACCTGAACTAAGCCACACAACAAGCCTTTGAAGGTGTGAATGCGTCACGAGAAATTACCAGCCTCTCTGGCTGGTCGCGGGGGAGGCGTTTGCAACAGCAAGTCTGCCTGCAGCTCTACAGCATATCAAGAACATTTGCTGCGCCGACGCTCCGAATCGAAAAGCGGCGGGCCTTGCTTTGTCATGACTAAAGACACGCCCGCGCATGAGGGTTTTCAAACATCGACGAGTTTTCCGCCGGTAGACTACCGGTTGGCATTGACCCAAATATTGCTCCCTCATGTCTCCTTGCCTCCTCATCTGAGGAAAGAATGGCCACATCTTGGTGTCGTTTGACACGGCCAATGCGATCCTTCAAGCACCAGAAACAATGCATTTGAGAAAGGTCCAGTCTGGGTTCTTTGAGAATACATGACTGTATAATATGGTTTGGGTTTCGAACCTTAATTTTTGTCTGAGCTGTCATCTTATCTTGTCTTCAGTTGTCGTTTGTCTCTTGATGTCTTTTGTCGCTGGACTTGTGCTCCTTGTGCTCCTCCTTCCGCTTCTCCTTGGCCTCAAGTGCACGCTTTGCCTCAAGGCGCAAATCCAGAAAGGCAGCCCGCAGCTCATGTCCGAGACCTGCAAGTCCAAATCACGAGAGGAAAGGAAAGTATGCTTGTCACTCCTAGGCACGCTCTTGGTGCACTCTTCTCTCTCCAACCTTGCTTCTCCTGGATCTGTGGCTGCTCCTGCAACATCATGCAAGGTCATGCAGGGTCTGAGGTCTGGTTTTTCTTCCGCCTGCTTCACTGTTCCTTTTGGGATTGCTGATCGAATTTGTCTGTTCAGAATTTGCGAAACTCCCCTGATAGTCTGTCCTCCGTCTGCCATGACGCACCCAGCTTTGCTGAGCTCCGTGCCCATTTCCGGACCAGCGAAAGGTCTCCACTTTTCCGGTAGCGCGCCAGAAAGCGTCGCTCCTGTTGCAACGATCGCACTGCTTCTCGTCGAAGCTCCTGCGAAAGCAAGCTTGGTCATTGTCACTACAGTTATTTTCTTAAAGTTCAAGCGCTCACGAACACAAACTGAATCTATGTAGATGAGGCAGCTAAGATATCAAAATGTTATAAAAACATTTCAACATCAGCACCAAACATCAACATCAGACTTGACAAAAGCTCTCCGGATCGTCTAAGCGGAGGTTTGTCAGCCTCACATCCGCATCCTGGGACACGGAGACAACTGCTTTATGCAGGAAACAACTTTTAAAAAATGCCAAGATCTCTACCCAACTGCAAAAGGAACCCAATAGCGATGGCCTCCACCCTAGTAGCGATGGCCTCCAACCTAATAGCAACGGCCTCCAAGACATGTCAAGATCTTTACCCAATTGCAAAAGGAACCCAATAGCGATGGCCTCCACCCTAGTAGGGATGGCCTCCAACCTAATAGCAACGGCCTCCAAGACATGTCAAGATCTTTACCCAATTGCAAAAGGAACCCAATAGCGATGGCCTCCACCCTAGTAGTGATGGCCTTCAACCTAATAGCAACAGCCTCCAAGACATGTCAAGATCTTTACCCAAATGCAAACGGAACCCAATAGCGATGGACTCCACCATAGTAGCGATGGCCTCGAACTTAATAGCAACGGCCTCCAAGATATGTCAAGATCTTTACCCAATTGCAAAAGGAACCCAAAAGCGATGGCCTCCACCCTAGTAGCAACGGCCTCCAAGACATGTCAAGATCTTTACCCAATTGCAAAA